TGGCCAAAGAAGCTGCTCTGATAGGAACCGCCAAGATTCAAGTTACCACCTGAGCCTCGACCGAATAACGATTGTCTCATCATCAACCGGAAAAACACTCCAGACCGCATACCGGGATTCATCTCTTGTGGAATCTAAAAACGTTCTCCTCTTCTAGTTCACAGTCGGGGTCAAAAAAGACACGAATGTTCTTTGGGAGGAAATAGCTTGGGAGTACAAAGTAATCTTCACCTGCTGCTTGCAAAGATACGGAGCGATCATGGCTGGATCCTGATGCTTTGGCCAATCAGTTGATTCAGGACCAATGTTAATCGTTGGTCCTTGATCCAGTACGGTGGCAAAACCGATATAGCCATTTACTGATATCTGGAAAATACTGCATCGAAAAGGAGTAGTAGCTCTGAACAAAATAAGAATGAAAAAACCAGGGAGAGAAACTTCACATATCTTCGTCTTGCACCCTAAAAATCAAGCGGACTAGGACCAAAGATGGAAGGTTACCGTGCGCATTCCCGACTCTAAAACCCTATAACCCACGCGGAACGCAACGAATAATGTAAGCGCGGTGTAGCTCGAATTGACTCCACTGGAAGGCCTGACTTCCTGACACACTTACTAGAGCGGTTCAAAGCGGGGTAGCGCTTCGGAAAACGGGTAAAGCGGCGGCGTCAGCACGAACTGCCTCACCCCTCAGAGTCGGTACAGGACCGAATTTGCCACCGAGCGAGCGGCATGGGAAAGAGCGCACTAGGAAAGGGAAAAGTGCTATTCGAAGGCAGAAACACTCTCCTGCCCGAACAGCAAGTAAGAACGCCCTGAGTTTCTACACAACGGTGCTATACCCTATACCAAAGCAGGATTTACCAATCACCAAGGTTCACTAATCCGAAGGCAGAGTAACCCGCTTAGAAGAAGAGTCTTCATGGTTGCCCCAAATATTATTACCTCTCTGATTTTTCTGAGTTTTTTTTACATTTCAGTAACTTTTTTGAAGTTCTCCACAGAAATTATTCTATAGTCAATGATTGA